ATGGATAAAATATTAAGATTTTTAGTTGATAGTTGTGAAAATATTCGCAGATTACATCTTGACTATGAATCGGCTATAAAGCTAGCCCATGATCCACCATTTGAAATCCATCGAACAAAACATATGCGTACACGACACTTCTTTATAAGAGAATGTTTAACGCAAAGAAATTTAGAGGTACTGAAAACATGTGCTAAAGACCAGCTTGCTGACATATTAACAAAACCTTTCAAGTCACGAGTTTTTAACTATAAAAATGGGCATGAAGTTCTAAAAAGAAGGCGGATGTTAAGAAAATATACGAAATATTAAAAATGATGTATCTTAGCAACGATTACTTTACTTGTTGATTGTCACGTTATTGTAAACTATAAAATAAAACTTCTATTAATTTTCCTTATATTGTTTATTTAAAACTAATGTATATGTTTTAAATCTTAACAAAAATAACGACACAGATTTCACTAGACATTGGTCAGAAATTCCCAAGTGTGAGGTAACCCGATATGGAACGTACCGGTCCATATCGGATACCTACCCTTGTCGCTTGTTGTACCAGCTAGGAGAGCCCCAACGACAAGCAAAATTCCACCAGTCTCTCCCAACGTGTTCGGTCTTCAGGTATAGGAACAGCCAGTCCTGATGACAGGCATTAAATCTCAGAAAAACTAACTGTGCAGTAGAGTACCGATTTAGAGCCACATCAGAGGTAAGACTGAGGCTAAGTTGACTACGGGTTTGATATTATATCCCATACTTTCGATGAAGCTACTGACGCATTAGTGTTTTTATTGCTTGGTATTAAACAAAGACATTTAAGTAGTAGTAGTAGTAGTAGTAGTAGTAGTAGTAGTAGTAGTATATATATATATATGTATATATATATATTTTATTGATCCCATTGTCTCGGCCGACGCGACGGTTGGACCGTAAACGTAAACAGATGACGCTTTCTAACGATAATGAATATAATGTTATAACAGTCAATGGTTCATTATTCTAATGTGTTGTAAGATTAAAAATATATAATGAAATATATTATCTGTTGTATGTTATAACGCCCAACTTTAGGGGTGACAGACCGCGCGCACAAATGCAGCTAGCCTCCCCCTCCCGCACCTCACTAATCGTTGCTTCACACCGCTTGAGATAAGACGATCTACTATCAGGCGCTAACAAACCCCCCGTCCCGGACATAAGGACCTATGTCCGCGAGTAAATTGGCAATTAGAAGACGCTTTGTATTGTTGGTTTTTACAAAAACGATCAACTGGGCAAATGATATCTGGCCCTTTGCTTTGTGAAAAAGCATTACAGTTAAATAAAAAATTAGGTGACGGCGGCTCGTTTGTCGCAAGTAACGGATGGTTATATAGATTTATATCTCTTCATGGAATTTAATCAATGTTTATTAAAAAAATAATAATTTTTAATAAACATTGATTTTCGTTGAAATTGTTGTTTTTAATAAACACATAACATTATGTATGTACATATGTACTACAAATGCACAAAACCCGCTTTTCTTCATACATTCGTTCATCCGGATTTTCGATTATCCGAATCCCTAACGGCAACAATTAGTCCGGTTAATCTAGTATATATATACATATTGAGAATCTAAATTGAGAATTTAAACTATACGCGTGTGTGTGTTTGTGTGTATATAAAAGGGCTACTTTTAATATCGCTCATTTTAATATCAAAAATTTAGGTTATCTTTATAGCAGTATTATATTTTCAATTCAAAATTAGTACTGCATTTGTGATAATAATAAAATGTAGGTATGTATATAGAGTACTCACTCATTTTCTTTCACTATTTTTTCGTGACTTTCTTCATTAATAATAAATGCACTTTGTTCTTTCATATTCAAAATTTCAAAACACTATACACAAACACCGTGTCGAAGACTGAGGAAAAGAAACGACGTTAGACCATCGTTAGACAATGCACGGCCTTCAAGCCACACCTCCGTGCCCGTCGGAGAGCGTGAGGTTTTTTTCGTTACGAAATTTCTGGATTTTCCCGCACTCAAGGCCCGCGATAGAAGCTATGCAATAGCTTAAAAAAATACTAAAAATCAATTTCACTGCTGAGACCTGTTCATTGAGAGTAATTGGAAAAGTTATGCTAACTGGAAATAGGCAAAGGCATGGAGGGTTATTTAAACTGAATTTAAAGTATGTGCTACCTACGCTACATATTTATCAGATAATAACTTCCAATTTACTACGAGTTTATCATAAGAGGATTGCGCATCAAAATAAGCGACATATAAGACAGTTGATAGATAAAGAGCTCGGCATTAAAATGGCTCTGGACAAAGAACTCTGCGAAGAATGCATAAATGGTAAAGCCCACCGCAAAAGTTTTGGAACGAGACCAAGAGCATAAAAGGCAGGTGAAATTTTTCATACCGATGTTTGCGGGCCTTTCCCGTATTGATTTCAGAAATACAAATATTTTGTTTTATTTAAAGACGACTTTACCAGTTATCACTTTATCTATTTTCTGAAAGAGAAGTCAGAAGAAGCCTCAATGCTTAATAACGTGGTAGCTGAAATAATGGCGTCTGGGCATAAAATAAGAGAAATTATTTCTGATAATGGGGTAGAATTTGATAACCAGAAGGTCCGGGCCATTTTACGCATTAATGGCTTTATTTAAAGATTAACTATGCCATATACTCCCGAACAAAATGGAGCATGCAAAAGGGATAACAGGACAATTGTAGAGGCACGTTCGATGCACGTTCGATGATGTATGCTCTTGAAGAAATACCAAAAGGAATATGGGCTGAAATCGTAAATACCACTGTTTGCATTTTAAATCGAACAGGGCCAACGAAGATTGCAGGAACGTTTCCTCATGAGTTGCGGTATGGCAAAAAACCAGCTATTAAACATCTGAGAATTATAGGTTGACAGTGCTATGTTCATATTCCTAAATAAAATGGAATGAAACTTGCCAAGAAAGTTCAAAAAGGAATACTGTTAGATTATGAAGGAGACAATGGTTATCAAATTTGGAATAAAACATATCATAAACTTATTATTATTATAATATCAAGACCTGGCTCACGAGGTGATCGACATGTGGGGTAGTCTGCCGGCAGAAATTATTCCTGTTGTCTTCTGTGCTAATGGGCCAATTCCGGTTAGCCTCTCGGGTCATCTGAGGGACTCCGTGACGGACGGATTCCACTGCATCAGACCCGCAGCAGTGTATACCTGTCCAGTGCTGCAGGAACGGGCAGTCTGGTTTCTCCACAATAACTCACAGGGTGCTGTTGGTGTTGCCCCTTAGCCTTCCCATCAGGGATGCTGTGTTCCTTCTCCCAGAATAGCTTGAAAGTGGTCCGTTACCGCTTCAACAAACACGTCTAATGCACTACAGAATCGTATAAACACCCTAAATTCATTATTATATTGCTTATGCTCCCTCTTTATATCATCTTCATCATCTAAATCTTCATTAACTATATGGCCAAGGTATTTAAATTGAGATACTCTCTTTAGTGCTACATTATAAAGGCACACCGCAGAAACATAATTAGGCTTTTTAGTACCCACTCGAAACACCATAACCTTACTCTTCTTTATATTATATAGGAGGCCATGAGACATGGCGTGTCTTTCACACACTCCAAGTAGATGTCTGAGTGCGTCAAGATGTGGTAAGTCAATATACTCACAGAATCGTTGGTGATTCAGCCCAGTGGATCTAATGAAATTAATAACATAATATATAGTAATTAGTATTCGTTCACACAGAGCAGACGTGCATTTGGTTCACCAATAAAATTGTAATAACATACTTTTCTAAACTGAAGATAACTGCACAGTGACAAAGATTAATTTGCAACGGGGAGCTGTTTGTTGCGATATTTCGTTAACCACTTGACAAGTTCCATCAGCTAGCGGCCTCCCTCAACACCTAAGGTAAAGAGCACAGATATTTATTTTCTACCCTCCTCACTCGCCGTCGCCTCAGCACGAACGCATACGAAGTGTGCCCGCGCTCGTGACGCAAGAAGAACAGCGTGTAGTCCAAGTCATGAGCGTAAAGCGGTCACCACTTAGACTGAGCGGCTCGCTTACAGATCTAACAAGGAATGATGTATTAGCGGAGGACCAAATTACCTTACGAAAACGCAAACATAATGAATCGAACTGCAGCTGTACCAAAGAAATACAAGAGTTTCGAAAGGAAATTACGTCTCTATTATTATAATTTTTAAAAGAAACCTGTGCGTTGAGATTCTGAATCTAATAAATAAAGAATTATTTTGATACATTAATTCTAATGACCGTAATCGTGCGCCATCCAAACATACAGACATCCGGACACCCTCGAAATTTTTTTTCAATCAGTTTTTTTTACATTAAATACGGAAAATTACTTTTAAAAATAATAAAAACACGAAAAATTTTTCTCGATATATGTGTATTTTTATTACTCTAAAAGAGTAATAGTAAAAAACAAAGACATTTTTTGCTCAGAAAATTACTAGATTTCCATTAGGTGAGAGTAGAGCACAACCTAATGCTTTGAGGCGTGCAACAACCTCAACGCTTCGCTGCGCTTTTGCGCACAAAGACTGTTGATGAATGATACAATGTAAGAATAATGGTTTTGAACCATCATCATTTTTAACAGCCTTTGACACAAGTGCAACCACTCCTTTATATTTACCACTCATATTTTTGCCTCCATCAGTTGTGATACATTTCAAGTTTTCCATTGAAGGTACTTTTATTAACCTGGCATATTCAACGCCCTTATTTATTATTTCTTCATACACTTCATGGCTTTTATCAACTCCACGAATAATAATCAACACCTGAGTAGTATCTAACACATCAGTTGACTCATCCGAGGCTAGAGAAAACCACTCAAGATGTCCATTTTTGTCAGACAGTTGAGATGATATTTACGATGTCTTGCACCCTCCGAGCCATGGTGCTTGCTGCCAAACTGACACTTTTAAATAAATCTACTTTTTGGGGCATATTTTTTCGACTACTGCAATCAAGCATTCTTTTACCATTTCTCCATCGGTGAATGGTTTTCCACGTTTTCCGATTTCAAGAGCTACACGAAAGCTGGCGAGAGCTGCAGACTCTTGTTTAGTATTCGCTTTGGTAAACAGAGATAGCTGCGATTTCAGCCCGCGCTTCAAAGCTACAAATTTTGTCTTCCGCAAACTTCCTGTATATTTGGAATAATTTTGGAGAGGTTTCGATTCATAAAGTCGTTTCATGTTATATTCTTTGAGAAAAGCTATGGTTTCATTACAAATTAAACATAGCGCAATCAAATCAAAAAATACTGAAAGTTCCATTTATCATCGAATGTTTTGAAATCACTGTATATTTTTCGTTTCTTTTCCATACATTTCACACAACTACAAATCACACATTTCACAATATACAGTTTCGTTTGAGTATTCAACCAACTGGAGAGGCCATGTGCGTTAATTGCTAAACAAAAATTCGTCAATGTCGGGGAGGGGGGGGGGGGCGCAAGAACAACACACTACTGTATACTTCACTACAAATGCAAAATTGAATCGACTCACTATACACGCACACTACAGCATTTTTGTGTTTGTGTTCATTGTATTTACGCATAATATCAAATTGTACACGTATCGATACACTGGTGCGCTGGCTACATGCGTAAGCGACGTAAGGCGAGGACTATGTCGATATTTTTATCGATAAAGAAATCATCATAGTCCGCAAATTCAGCGTTGGTAAAAGTGATTTTTCATTACGTACCCCATACAAGAAAATTATGATTTTATTAGTAAATATAATAATGGTCAGTTTTTGAAAGACTGACATCAAAGTCAGATTTTAATTCAAATTTAATCAAAAAGTTGGGTACTTTCCACATTGTGTTTATACAAAGCAATAAAACACTAATGCGTCAGTAGCTTCATGGAAATTATCGGATATAATATCAAACCCGTAGTCAACATAACCATAATGCTTTTGGCTGCTAGCATGGTATTTCATCAACTGCTTAATTTTCATTTCATCCATGACTAAGGTACAATAATTATTTTTTTATCAGGGTTACTCTCCGCTCTCAATTTTAATGCTGTCAGCGCTCCTTGAGTAAACCCTGGTCGGTCATTGATGATACTGTACCACTTAGTCAATGTCCGTGGTGCAGGTAAACATGTTCCAAAAGTTTTACGTGCATAGCGATAGGATTTTCATAAATAATCAAGTGTTAGGGCGAAACATCTTAACTCTGTCAAATATTTAGTTCTGGGCAGTTTTAGACTTACTTTTAAGTAATCGCCTCTTTAAAAGTTCGCTTTCTTCAGTTCTTATGTATTTCTGGTACCTGTTTGTTTTCTTTATTTATCAAAGATGTCTCTGTCAGCAAATCTAGTATTTCTTGCAAACTTGTAATTTTTTTATTTAAATACCGTTATTGCCATTGAAGCCATTTCACGCTATTGCTTATTATTTCTAGGCGTTTTTTTAGTTTAATTTTTCTTGGTATAAAGTCTGCTTAGATCGGTGATGCACAAACTTATTAAGACTAGAGGCCACTCGGGCAAATTATGAACTGATGGCGGGCCGCCAGAAGTATAGGTAATTATGAACTGATGGCGGGCCGCCAGAAGTATAGGTAATTATGAACTGATGGCGGGCCGCCAGAAGTATAGGTAATTATGAACTGATGGCGGGCCGCCAGAAGTATAGGTAATTATGAATTGATGGCGGCAAGTAAACTGATGCGGCCGCCAGAAGTATAGGTAATTATGAACTGATGGCGGGCCGCCAGAAGTATAGGTAATTAAAGACAATAAAGAATTGATAATATTGTATTAAAATTGAAAAAGAATTTATTAATTTGAAGCGTGGCACTGCATAGTGCTTACAATCTTTTTATATTTGTCTCAAATTTACTTGTAACAACACGTAAAACTGCTTACAAACTTTCATTTGCAAGGCGGTTTCGATTTTTTGTTTTATTATTATTTAGTATAGAAAAGTTAGGTTCACATATATAGGTAGAACCAAATAAGCTGGCACATTTCAGAGCGTTTATGCGCAACTCTTTGTACGCATTTTTATCAATGCTAAATCTAAAAGTTCAGCAAGTCTCCTTCGTTGAATTTGTTGCGTAAATCTTGGTCGTTTTGAATGTCGATAATTTCTAACTGCATTGAGTCTGGCGCATTTTCAACTCAAATCGTGAAAGGATTGCTGAATATGTCCAACAGAGGTTTCAATTTTTTAAACTCCGAAAATCTGTGTCTTGAAAAGATTGAATCAAAATATCTAGCTTTTCTACATAACTGAAATTAAACGCAGTTTTGTTGAATTTTTCAGCCATTTTCTAATAATTCGGAAAATGATTGTAATTTCCAGAATTCAATTGCGATCTGAAAAGTGTCAGCTTGCATTGAAAGGATGATACATGAGCGTAGAGCTGGGATATCAGTTGATGTTTGCCTTGAAGCCGTGTGTTCAAGACATTCAAATGATTTATAATATCAACTAAAAAAGCCAAATCACACAACCAATCAGGATTTTAAGTTCCGGGACATCCTTTTGCTTTTCCGCCAGAAATATTCCAATTTCATCTATTAAATGTAGAAATCGTTCCAGTGTCAATCCACTGGATTCATTGACTTTTGATTTCCCATGGATCCATGGACTTTCGATATCATCAAGGTATTGTTTGAATTGCCTTGTTGTGATTGAGTCCTCGTGATTTTATGAAATTTACAGTCGAAACTACCACTTTCATGACAATTTGAAATTCAATTTTTTTAGAACAGAGAGCTTCTTGGTGTATAATGCAGTGAAAGTGAAACTGCATGAGATCTTCAGCGTTTATGTTTTTTTCTTGCAGATGCTTTTTCAGCAAAGTAACTAGCCCAGAATTGACACCAATCATCGAAGGATCAAGTTAGTCGCAACTCCCGATAATTTTGATAAGTCCAAATCAGTTTTTGAACACTCATCCAAAAGTAAATTGAGTATATCAACTGCTCTGTCAATCAACTCTTCTAAGACTTCAAAATCTTGAGTAACACCTCGTATGAATATAAGAAGTTGAGCTGTGGAAGGACGAAGTGGATTCGTCGAGTGCTAATGAAAAAAATTCAATGATCTTAGTTTTTTCATTTAATTGTTCCGCAATATTACCTGACAAAGACATAATTCGTCTTTGGATAGTCATACGATTCAGTTGAATTTTCTCAAACTTTTTTGCTGCTGCTGGACATATTTTCTTAGCGGCAATTTCTATGCATTCTTTTACAAAATCCCCATCATTGAAGGGGCGACTTCGCTTTGCTATCATTCGAGAAATTTCATAACTAACTTCTGTAGCTGTTTCTGAATCTTGAATGGGTTTTGTAAACATAGCTTGCTGACCAATAAGTTCCCGTTTTAAAGACCACATTTTTTGCTTTCTTAATTCGCCTGTAAACTTGGTAAAAGTAGGATGCTGCGTTTCATAGTGCCTTTTTACATTATATTCCTTTAAAATCGCAACAGAATTCTTGTAAATTAAACAAACGACTTTGTTATGCGACCATACAAAAAAGTATTTCTCAATTTCAAATTTCTTGAAACTGCCGATTTTCATCTTTAACCTTACGTTTTTTAATAGGTCCTGGCTTGTCCATGTTGCGTTCTAATCCTGGCTAGGGTTAACACAGCACCTAAAAACAATTACAGTACCTACTTAAATTACCCATCCTTTTTTAAATTACCAAAAATAATTGATTAAATAGGTAGGGAAACACTTATTAATAACAGAGTTTTACTTACGATTTCACAACACAATTTTACACAGCACTTGACGACGTTGAATTGGATCAAAATATATACACAGTCGAGTTAAAATCTACACTAGAACTATTGACACTTCACTCAAATTAAAACCGAACTGTCGGTCGCTGCGGTTAGCGTGGCTTTTATACCACGCCTATAGAGTCAAAAATTGTCTGGAGAAATCACGAAACCGACTCTGGAAGCTTCGTGTATCTACCTACGCGAGCAATCGGGAATTCGGGACTATTGCTATCTCGCTTGCTCTAACAATATAACCCGTGGATAAGCCGCCACCGCGCCGCCGGCCGCGGCGGTTCCTCAAGAAAACGAATTTAACCGAGATCAGCACGAACACTACCAACCCCTGTTACCGACGCACGCATGGCGCACCGATAAGCACACTTAAGAGCGTGAGATTCAAATTACTTTTCGAACATATTTTTTTGGTTTTATTCTGGAATATAATTCAATATTTTTTTATGTACGTGAATATTATTTTTGCTGCCGGCGGGCCACCAGTATTCGACCGGCGGGCCGCATGCGGCCCGCGGGCCGCGGTCTGTGCATCTTAGGCTTAGATAATAGATACGTGCGATTTTGTGCCGCGTCGCCTCAACACGTGCCGCATTTTGTCAAAGGTGTGACATTAAAGTTCGAACTGTAAAACACCCGAAATGTCGGGAATCAAAAGTCAAAATTTAACGTGATAAAATCCGTAAAATTAGTTTTATTTAATATGTAGTGTTCGCAACATAATCTCCTATGCATATGATATTGCAGTAATATTTACTGGTAACTCCTGGAATTCTGTTCGTAGATCTGCTGAAGAAAGCCTCGCTAGGATCGCTAAGTGGTTGCACACTAACCTACTTACTTTGAAAACTAGTTGCACACACACACACACACACACACACACACACACACACACACACACCATATATATATATATATATATATATATATATATAAATAAATTATTTATGATCCCTTAATAAGGTCTCTGAGACCAAGTATTTAGTAGTCGTAGTTGACCAACATTAGTCATGGCATAGACAAATTGAATTAATTATGTATAAACTTAGGAAACTTTTTTTTTATAGAAGGGGGTGCAAACGAGCATGTGGCTCACCTGATGTTAAGTGACTACCGCTGCCCATGATCAACCGCAACACCAGGAGAATTGCAGGTGCGTTGCCGACCCTTTGGAAAGGAGTAAGCTCTTTTCTTGAAGGTCTCCAGGTCGTATCGGTCCGGAAAAATCGCCGGTGGTAAACTATTCCACAGAGAGGTTGTACGCGGAAGAAAACTCCTTTTGAAACGTACTGTGGTGGACCGCCAAGCATCCAGATGGTGTGGATGGTATCGGGACGTTTGCCACGTAGTGCGTTTACGATAATTTGGCGGCTGGGATTAATCCGAACAATTCCTCAGAGCACTCTCCATGGTATAT